CCCCCCCCCCCAGCTCTCTGAGAGCTGCCCCAGCGGGTCACCGGCGGCTGGAGGTCGGGCCTTCTAGCCTTAGGCTCTTATCTGTATGTGTGTGTTTGGGCGGGGCGGGGTTTAGTGGAGGGGTCTCTGCTCCTCCAGCAGGGAGCTGCCAGCTTAAGCAAAGAAGTGGGACTCATATCTGCTGTCCTGCGGTCCCCTTCCTTCCTCCCCGCGACCTAAGTAGGCTCAGTGGTCCCAGCCCGAGTCATGTTGTTGTCCGCTCTTGCAGGTCAAGATCTGGTTCCAGAACAAGCGCTCCAAATTCAAGAAACTGATGAAGCAGGGAGGAGCGGCTCTGGAGGGCAGCGCGCTGGCCAACGGCCGGGCCCTGTCTGCTGGCTCCCCACCTGTGCCGCCCGGCTGGAACCCTAACTCCTCATCTGGGAAGGGTTCAGGCGGAAGCGCAGGCTCCTACATCCCCAGCTACACGTCGTGGTACCCTTCAGCACACCAAGAAGCTATGCAGCAACCCCAACTTATGTGAGGTTGCCCACCCACCTCAGCCAGCCTCCTCTCCATCTCCCCCGGCCTGGGCCCCTCCTGCCTCCTGGTTCATCCACCCTGTCCGCGCGCCCTGTGCCCGGAGGAGAAAGGCCCAGACGGAAAGAAGAAGGAACAGTGAAGGCAGGACGCCTGCCGCCTCCTCGGAGACCCGCGCGGTCCTCCCGGCAACTCCATGGCGCCCGCGCTCTCTTCCGAACCTCGGCCTGGGCCGCGCAGTGACAGCGGAGAGAGGCCTCGGAGCGCAGGCACAGCCACCCGAGACAGCCCGAGCAGCAAAACAAACCTGCTCGACCCGACCCGCCGACCCTCAACTTTGTGGGACTATCAGGAAAACGAAAACAAAATGTAGAAAAAGCAAAAGCTCTTTTCTGTCCTGTCCGTCTCTTGTCTCCTTTCGCTGTCTGTGCGCTGACAAAGTCAAGGTCGTCCTCCATCGCTGTCCTCATTCTGCGGCCTCTGACCTCTGCAAGAAGTCTTCAGGTCGGAGCCGAGCCGCATGCGGTCTGCCGGGCAGCCCATCTCCGGATCCTGGGACGTTTTGTTCTTTCGGGCCTCCTCCTGGGCCCTGCCTAACCATCTGTGTAGCTTGTTTGGGAACTGGGGGGAATTGGAGGGTGGGGGGGTTATTTATTGAGAAATGGACTTCGCCTGAGGCTGAGTGTTGGCCAATTTGAGGTTCTGTGGGGCTCGAGGAACACTGTCCAAACTCACCGTTTACTTTAAACGCACCCGGAAAAACGGATACAGAGGAGGTGGTGATTTTTAACGTATACAGTAACTTTTGTACTTCGCTGGAATGGGGAGGTTGGAGCCGAATGAATTGCATTTTTTACATGTCCCATATTATTTTAAAATAATAAAAAAGAAAGATAAATAGAGCCAACACTATCGGAAGGAACTCCTGATCACTTTGCCTGGACAAGAAGGAAAATCTGATTTCCTCCTTGGGGAGAAAGAAAGAGAGAGAGAGAGAGAGAGGACCAATGGGCAACGGAGAGAAAACAGGCAGGCGTGAGCAGAGCGCACTAATTCCAGTGGGCTTTAAAGTAAGACCAAAGCAGCTTTACAACATTCCCTAGAGGCTCGACCACAGAATAATGCCAGTCACCACCCTGAACGCCCAGTCTCCAGTGCAGGATCTAATCGCTGTACATATTATTATTGTTATTGTTATTATTGTTGTTCTGTAAACATGTTGCACAGCTTAGCCCTTTTCCGTTCTGTGTGTGGCTGTAAAACCCGATGCTTTGTGAAATGAGAATCTTGACATTTTACTTGTGAAATTTGGAAAATGTGACCAATTGAAATCAATCGTGTTTTGTGTTCTCTATGTCAAAGTTTAGTTTTATATTGAGAATGTTAACTTATTTCTTTGTATCTTGGGGAAAAAAGAACTTTGTAAATAAGTTATAAAGTTTCTTTGAGACAGTAAAATTATGATTTCGAGAAAGAGCTGCTGTCTCCTGTGCTGTGTGAGGGGAACTGCGGGGGGCCGGGCCAAACTCCCACCTCTGGGGACAGGTAGCACAGGGTAGCAAATCAGGAACAGAGTGGGGGTGCCTGATTCCAGACGCACCAGAAGATGATCCCAAGACATGTAGGTGCCCCACCGGGACTGTTCTTCTTGCCTTACTCCCTCGACACCCAAGGTGTCTGAGTCCTACCTGAGTTGGAGGGGTGCGGAGAAAGTCCCTGGAGAGGATGCCAGGGAAGAGGGCTCAGGAACAATTGCGGCAGGGCAGAGCTGGGGCTCGAACCCAAAGATGGTGAAGACCCGCTGAGAGAAGATGAAGGCAAAGTTCAAAGGCAGCCCGCCTGGGAGACTTGCGTTCCTCCCACGCCTAGCCACCCCTCAGGAGCCTTTCAAGCCCGGAAGCAGAGACACCCTGCTTTGCCCCTACCCTCCGCTCGGATCTGGCCTGCGTGCTTTTGCTTGGATCCCAAGGCTCTGGATCCAGTCGCCGAAAATACGCGGCCAGACGCCAGGCAGCAGCCGGAAGCATACGTCTGTCAGGCTATCTCCCAATCAATCAGTGGCTCCTGGGGAACAGGGCACAGTCCCAGGGAGCCCCCCCGGACCGCGCCACAGCGAGAAAGGCCCGTGCCTGCCTAATGATCCTGCCTTTTCTCTGCGCCTCCTAGAAATGTAGGTGCTAAGGGAGGGGTGCGTAGGCTCCGCTGACTCGTTGGAACTCGAGAGCTGACCAGAGTCAAGCACACCTTTAGCCCCCAGCCCGAAAGTTCCCAGGCCAGGCCATTTTGAGGGCACCTCTGCTGGAGCACTCGGATCAGTTCGCTCCAGAAGAACGCAGGCTCCGAGGGGCTACCACCAGATCGGCTCCCTGCTTCGCCCGGTGGTCCTGCGCCACAGCCCACCCCTAACCCCAGACTCCGCTGCCCAGTCGAAGCAGCTCCGGAAAGCTGCGGGCTCAGACCGGCTGCTTTGCGCAATTCCTGCTTCTCCCGCACACGCCTTCTGTCGCTGCTGCCCGAGGGGGCTGGCCCTCCGCCTTTGGGGGACCCTTTCAGGCGCGCGGCGGGGAGCAGAGCCCGGAAAGCAGTGATCTGTGTTGTGACAAGCACCCATTTTTCAATTGGTGCTGGTGAAAGATCAGATGAGCCGGGCTCTTCTTCCGACGCCCTTTGGGAGGGGGAGGAGGAAGTGAAGGGGCTGGGGGTGAGGGGCGGTGTGATGGAGGAAGCAGGGGAGGTGGTGGGGGATGAAGGGGACCTGGAGGCCCCTTCCGGACCTAGAATTGGGACTTTCCCACTCCAGGCGGCCCCCAGAACCACAGCGCTAATCAGGGAGATCAGACCTCAGAGACCAGGGTGCGAGCGGGCAAACGGGCCTTAAAGCTGAGAGAAGGGACCGACTTCCCAGGCTAGGCTCCGGCGCGGGGGCAGGAGCCTTCCTGAATTCGTTTTCTTGCTAGTGACTTTGCTTGTGGGGAGATTTTTGTCACACATCTGAGGGGTCCCCCAGACGACAGCTAGGGCCCAACGCCCCAAGCCACGGGCAAAATCTGTTTGGTCAAGCGGATTTTAATACTTTGAGATTTTAGCTTATACTAATTTAATAATCTCTTTCTAACAGTTCAAATAGAGAAATTATTAGTTTTAGCTCAACGAAGGCGGTCTTTAGTTAGGCTTTATTATAATTATAAGAGGTTGTACTTTTAAAAAAATGTTAATCTCAATATAGGCCTAATTAATGCTGCCTTGTTACTGACAAGTATAGTTCATCAAATATCTGATTCAAAGATTTTCATAATGAGTATATTAATTAAACTATGAATAATCTAAAGGTGGTTATATTTAAACAATACCTCATTATAATGATTAAATACTGATTTTGAATATTATGTCTTAACAATTGTCACTTAGAAAACACAACCTTTCCTTATGTATGAGTCTGTAATGGCAAAATGCAATTTTGGGATTTTTTTCCTCCTTGTTCAAAAAATGTGAACCTCATTTTAAAACACTTCTGAAATAGGTTACACACAGCTTAATGATTATCAAAATGACTCTTTTCTGCAAAAAAAAGACCCCAAAGTGCGCGTACAGCTGCAAACCCAAGAGGGTCAGCATCATTTCACTGTATTCTCTTCTTGATTACAAGCCGGGCCCATCAAACACAACATAATTACAGTAATTTCAGGTTTATTTATTCTAATGCAGTTTCCCCATCTCTCTGGTAATTATGAGCAATTTTTTCGCCCAGGGAATCTTTTTGCATTAACAAAAGAGATAACGCACTGAAAGCCAAATTTGCTGTGCATTGAGAAAAGGAAAAAAAAAAAAAATCAAATAGGTGCGAGCTGCCATCTCTGCAATTCTCCGGTACCCGAGCCGGCAAATTGCTTGCAGGTGTATGGAGCAAGCTTGTCAATGGCCAGGCCTCCAAATTAGCAAATGCACAGCGGCAAAGTGATGAAGACAGACTTAGCAAAATTGCCAAACAACAGATACCTCTTTAATATCTTCTCTCACACACACTAGCTCTAAAAGGGGGTAGGGTTGAGGATGGGGGTAGAGGTGGGAGTAGGGATGGGGGCGGAAGTAACCGTCTTCAGCCTCCTCCTCACTGGTTTGGCTTTTATAAGCCTGGAGGGGCTGGGTGGCCTGTGGGTAGTAGTTTAATTGTGGAAGAGGAAGTAACCGTCTTCAGCCTCCTCCTCACTGCTTTGGCTTTTATAAGCCTGGAGGGGCTGGGTGGCCTGTGGGTAGTAGTTTAATTGTGGAAGAAGCCAGGTCCTAAATCTAGGCAATATTTTAAAAATATAAAGCTGGAAACATGTTTATAGTTCATAGCTTTCTCTCATTGATTATTATGTTTTATTTTTATTTCTTCTGGGAATCTGCACCTGGGCTGGATTTAGATGGCTGTTCAACCTTCCTGATTCTGCACTAGTTTTCAGAGCCACAAAAAGTTTTAAAATTCTCCCCACCTATATGTACAGAAATGTGAATTTATGGAGAGAGTCATTTAGTTAGTACCTCTCCCCTTGATGAAATTGTCAATTCCGTCACCTACAGAAAAGTAGTTTTGGGTGCTGGATGTAGAACCTGAAATGCAAGATCAAGAAAAACTGGGAAGACAGAAGCCACCCATCGCCCCCCCTCCCCCAATCTTTCTCCTGGTATCCTCTTTCTTTCTGCATCTTTTATAAACAGATTTCAGAATTCTCTGGTTTTTGTCATCCCACCACCCAGGTTAAACACCCTTGAAATCACAGGCTAAAGCAAACTTTTCTGCTCTTCATCCCCCATGGCCATAGGAACCTCCACCAAATGCAGTAGAGAGGGTAAGGGTCCCTCCCTCCCATGCCTCAAAGAAATCCTGCTCCAGACTCCAGCTCCACAACAAACCCCAACTCCGGGGTAGACAGGCGAACGGCTCCAAAGTATGCCTTCCCCAGGCTCGAGAAACAAGTCACCCTCACCCACCACTTCCCTACTCCCTCCCTCATCCCCCAATCTTCAGGGATTAACACTTCCTGAAACATCAAGTGTTTTTATAAAAAGGAAAAAAAAAATAATCCTGACATCGCTGACAAGAAGTTTTGATGGAAGAATTAGCTGGTGCATACATAATCACTCCCCCACCCTCCTACTCCCGGAGAGGGAGTCGCAGCGGCGGGCGCAGCGCAGCCTTCCAACCCTCTGAAAAATGAAACCGGTTTCCACCCTTACCTTCTTCAGTGTCAATTTCAGATAATCTGGACACACACTCTTTGCTACATCAAATCAAAAGGGTCGAAGGCGGCTTTTGGCTGGAAGAATGACGGGAAAGAAAAGGCAAAAAAGAAAAAAGGAGAAAAAATTAAAAATAGGAAAATAGAAAACCGACCAAACCAGAGCAAAACAAAACCAGAAAACCAAAAAGAATCCCCCAGCCCCATCCTCCTATCCTGAGAGTAAAGAGTGGAAAGAGGTCCCCAGGACCAGGCGCCTCGGAGCGCCGCAGGCTTTTTGCAGCGCTGCGCTTGCAGAATAGGACTGAAAATTTCGGCTATATAGCCTCTGTCTTTATAGCTGATGAAAAAAATTGCAGATTATTAGCATAAATGTTTACTCTTCATTACGCTGATGACATTGTGCACTCGAGATCTTGGTAATCTTTGGGAAAATTATGAGTAATTTTTAAAAATTTTAAAGCAGCAGCAGTTACCATGCAATTCAGGCTAATTCTGCGTAGGCTCCGAACGGATATAATTATCGAGGAGTCAAGATGTTATGCTAAAAACTATGCATTGATATTCCCATTTATTATGTACATACAACTTTGACAATGTTGATGCTTGAAATAGCAGGAAATTGTCTTGCGCAAAAATTACAGTCCATATTAGGACATCTGAAATTGCGAAGAATTATATAGTAATTGCAGGCTTTCAGATGGGAGAGCCAGAATGCTCAAACTAGTGCAAATGTGGATAAAATTACAGATCAGAGCAAAAATTAGGGGAAAAGGGGGTCTGGAATTTTTCAGGTTGGCTATAGGATTCCGGAAGTGTCTAATGCCACATGATTGCTGCAGCTTTAGGGGAGACATTCATGCCTCAAAAAGCGCCTTGGACAAGGTGGCTTTAATTGAATTTCTTGGACTTTTTCTTTTAATAGGGGCAAATGAGGAAATTGGCCACCCAAGGCAAATTTCACTGTCCTCCCCGTGAACGTGTCCAGGAGAGAATCCCTTTCTCCGCGTGCCTGTTCTCGCTAGCTTGGACGCCCGGGAGGCCCTGGGCCCCCCACCCTAAACGCAGCAAACAGAAAGAAAGTGACTGAACTGCATCCCCCACCCCCGCCGCCTCCTTTCTTTTCCTTTCCAGTTCTCCCCTCCTCCTTCCTTCAACCCCTTTCCCGGATTCCTGCGAGCCCCCTGCACTGTGCAGGGCCCCTGGATGGGCCAGCCGGGAATGGGGTATGGGGAGAGCTGGTTGACTGAGGTGTTGGTGCCAGGCGGTGATCACCCCAGGAGAGAGTGCCAGCGGCCACCCAGTGTCGGCGAATACGAGCCTGTTATTTGGAGGCTTGGTGGTGGGGAGAAGCGGAGGGGTCCTCTGGGCCCGCCCCGTGACCGCCTAGGCTCCTCTTTTGTCTCCACCGCCCGGAGATAGCGCCCCCCCCCCCCCCATTCACTCCTCACTTGGGCGGTGCTTCTTTCGGGAACTGAGACACCCTGCGACTTTAAGAAGCCGAGGCCAGGCCAGCAGAGGGAGGGCGTGGGGCGGAGGCTGCCCCTGAAGAGGGGACTTCGCGCTGCCGGGCGACAGAAGCCAACCCGTGCGCGGCCGTCACTCGAGGCAGCCGGGACTCGGTCGGGTTCCCCCGCCAGAAGTCGCCATTGTTCGGGCAGCGATGATTTCACCTCTAGGGTGTCCCAGACTCCCGGATCACAATCGGGAGGGGAGGGGTGGGGGTGTGGAGAGCCTGCCACGTGTGCCCCGTGAGGGCCGCCTGCACCCTGGCATCACCCCTGCGCACTCCAAGTCCAAACCTTCCTCCCCCCTCGCCTCTCCTTTCCCAAAGTTGTAATCCTCTGCCCAGCAGCTCCGGCCCGCCTCTTGGACCCATTATTCACCTTCCCCCGTGGGGCCGGGGACACAGCCGGTGGCACCAGAACTCCCTGGGACCCCCCCAAACGGGCCTCCGGAAAATCCCGGGAGCGCTGCCACCCAGCCCTCAAACTGCTGTTTGCGCTCTGGCTCCGGACGACTAGTGGGAAGCCGGGGCCGGAGCGGCCCGGGAAGAAAGGTCTGTCAGGAGACTGTATCTGGGTTTCCACGTGGAGGCGCCGTGTGGCTGCTCCTCCAAGACCTGCCTGCTCTTTCTTTTCATGAAACGTATTGTCTCCCCCGCCCCGCCCCGCCGGGCCCCAGGCCCCAGGCGGAATGTAGCATCTTGTAATGTGGCAATCACTGCCAAACCCGTCCCTGCGAGGGAACTCCCTCCAGGGAAGGTGGGAGGGGGTCAGAGGGATGTGGGGTCTCCGCATCCCCCTGCGCTGGTCGGTGTGCGTGTGTGCGCGCGCGCGCGAGGAGTTTGTGTGTGGGAGACTTGCCCGACAGATTCCAGGTGGGGAGGAAAGACCCGCCGTGGGGAGGCTTCCCTGGGGCTGCTTTGGGTGTCGTGACCCTTCGAGAGGCTGCCAGTCTCTGGAAAGCCCAGACCCCAGAGCTGAAAGTCCGGGTAATGCAGCCCACAGGATAGCGCCCCACTCAACTGCTTCTAGGAACCTGGACCCCAAAGTCGAATTCTCGAAGGGACCTGTTGGTATTTTAGGAGAAGGGAGTCTGTAGTTTCATTATCAAAGGAATCTCTGACCCTAAACAGGTTAAAGCCACTGGTGGTAGCTGTTCCCTGGAGGGAAAGGAGCCGACTTTTGACTTTTGAGCGAGTGTTGGGGGCGCCGGGAGTTGGGGGAGTTGCGCCCAAGTTTTACTGTCCGTAAGAGCGACTTACCCCCCTCCTTACCCCGTCCCTTGTCTTCTACCACAAAGTTCCAGGCAGCCCGCGCTCTCTCCGCCCCCACCAAACCTGATACTTCCCCCCAAATTCGCCCCACCAGTCTCGGAAATCCGTCCACAGGACGGATATTCACAATTTTCACAAGTGATCCTGAAAGAAGGCCGAGGGGAAGCCTCCTAAACGGTCCCACATTGCAGCGGGGCTGATTAGGTCTGGGATCCGTTCCCTCTCTTTTCTGCCCTCCCCAGCTGGAGATGCGGGGCGAGCGGTGGGAATTCGAGGCAGCCGGAGGGGGTCTGGGCCCAGCAGAGCGCCGCGCCGGGAGCGGGGATGGGGGTGCTGAGGCGGGCTGCTGACTTGGAGTGGGGGTTGGGGGGAGGGGGGAATTGAAGGGGAGAGTGACTCGGGAGCACCTGGGCGGCCCACAGCTGGCACTGGAGCTCAGCGCCAGCGCTGTGACTGAGTTCGGACAGCCCTGTCAGAGGGTGGAGCGGAGAGGGCCGGGCACCCCTCAGTCTTCGGCTACCCTCCCCCTGCTTCCCAGCGCTTGTCATATCCTGTCTCTGGCCTGATATTTCACGCGAGCGAATGGAAGGGGATTACAATGAAGATTTATGTGTGTTCCGAGCGCGGCTGGTTTCCCAGTGTAGGGAGCCGAGATCGCTGCTTCCCATTTCCATTTTTCATTCGCGCTTTGGGGAGCCCAGTCGAGAGCGGGGGGAGTGTGTCTGCGCGGCGGCGGGCTGATCACAGGGCTCCGCGTCTCCGGGCGGGCCTGGAGACTGTGAGAAAGGCTTGCCAGTGCGTCGCCCCCGGCGGGGCTGGAGCCGGCCCCCGCCTCCCGGAGCCCGGCTTTGTTTCTACCCTTGCCCACCCCTCCTCCTCCCCGCCCCCTCACTTCTGGGACCCGGGCGCGTCCTCGCGATCCCTTCTCTTTGCCCTTTGCCTTGTCTGCGGAAACGCCCCCTTCCCCCTGGCCCCTGCACCCTCCTGCCCTCGTCTTCGCGGGCTCCCCAGGGAAAGGCGCGCCGTGGCCAGGCCGACCCCGCCGCCGCCGGGTGCCAGGTTGGGTGACTCCGGCAAGTCTGTGGGGCCTCGGCCCACCCCAGAGCTGGGGCCGCCCGCCCTCCCGACTCCCAGGCTCGGCTCATGCCAAGGCCTGTTGCGTGATTCCAACTTGGGCTGACATTCCCTGCCCCGGGCGCTCCGGCGCAGGCCTCTTAATCATCTTGTCTGCTGCAGATCCTCGACACCAGCCAATTTACTGCCCCGTCTCTTCCCGCTGGTTTCAAGAGGGGGAGGGGAGTGAGCGCAAAGGAGGGGAGAGCACAGCCAACTGCAGGAGGAAGGTTGGCACCAACTACTGGCACTTAAAACCCCCCTCGGAATTTGGAGCTAGGGTAGGAGTGGGGGTGGGGTCTGCCAGGCAGCGGTTGCTTAGGGAAGTCCAGAACCGCGGGTCAACGGGCTTTAGCCCAGGCCTCCCTAGCCTGGGAAAAGAATGCAGAAATGCAAAGCAACACTGGATTGTGTAGCCTCCCTGCCATTCCCAGAGCCCCAACTCCCTGGACCACACTCTGTTGTAAACCAGACTCAGAGCAGGCCCTCAAACAATTTGGCCAGTATCAAAACAGACGCACTACAAAACACAACAAAATAAAAACATCAACAACAACAATTTGGCCAAAAAAGTCAGGATTCCCCTTAGGATGATGCCACTGAGCCCAGAAAATCACCTCTGCCCTAGGTCTGTTTGGCAGAGATGAGTTGAAGACACACAACATTAATGGCCTGAAAAACCACCCTAGAGGACAGGAGGCCTAAATCTGGCAAGCAGGGCTCTCTAACCTGTGCCCAGCCTCCTCTCCAGTAGAGATGGGCCCCTTCAGAGGTTCAAGCCTCGTGTAGAAAAGGGCCGGAATTCTCCCAGCCCCAGGATGCTGGTCTTCCACATAAGATGAAGTTGGAAAGGCCTCTGGATAACTCTGGGCTTCATACTTACAAGTGAAAGTACAGCCTCTCTGTTTGGAGTCATTGTGATAGAACACGAATGCTAAATAGCTAAAATTTGAGTGCCTATTTTGGCCGGGCACTGTTACATCAGGTTGCTTCATTAAATGCCCACAACACCTCTGAGCCATAGCTGTTATTATTTCTCCTATTTTATAGATCTGCAAACTGTAACAGAGAGGTTAAGTGGGTTGCCCAAGGTCACACAATGATTGAAGTCAGGAAACTTCCAACTGAACACCCCAGTGCTTTCAGGAAAAGCAGTTCAGGCTTGCTTTGTCGTCCACCTACTCCGGGCCTTTGCAGAGAATGCCAGAAAGTAGGGTCATTTCCAAGCCTGAGGTTGGTGGGGTTGTAGGTAAAAAGCAGAGCTGAGTGACTTGTAGACAAACCTTTCCCCTCCAAGAGTGTGAGGTGGCAGGCAGTGTGCATGTTTCTGTGTGCGTGTGTGCGTGTGAGTGTGCATATGTGTGTTTGTATATCACAGTGACTGAGAGTGTGAATGTGTGAATGAGCATGAACTGTGTTATATATGTGATTGTGAGCGTGATTATGTGTGTGACTGTGAGGGTGTTTAAGTGTGTCATTGTATGTGTGCCTGAGTGTGGGAATGTTTGACAGCAAGTGTGACTGCGAGAGTGTGTATCAATCAGTGTGTGCGGGTGAGAGCGTGCTATAGTACAGGTGTGACTTAGTGTGCGTCAGTGTGTGCGCTAGCGCAGCCCTGTGCGCTGGGGTCGCCCCACATTCCAAAGCAGCCAACCGTGCCTCCCGAGGGTGACTCACAGAGTTTTCGACTCAGCCAGCCCCCAAGGGCCTTGGGACAAACGGAGGGGAGGGTCGAATGCAGGGGTCTGACCCCAGGCTGCAACAGAGTTCAGGCCTCCACAGCAGGAGCCCCGCAGCCTTTCGGCTGCAAGGCCTGGCCAGCATGGAGGGCGCGGGGGCGGCCGAGACGGCCCGGGCTCGGGGCGGTGGCGCTGGCGCTGGCGCTGGCGCCGGAGCCGCCCGGCGCTGAGTGAGTCACCGCGCCGCTGGCTGGCG